CGATTAAGAATTTACTCAACCGGTTACCCGAAATTTATTCAATTCGGGTCGGTTAGCCGATTATAGCCCAACCGGTTCAAATCACTAGTTAAGACCCTAATTATGCATAATGAGACTTAAATTGCATGTAAAACTAAAAAAAAATATGGAAATTACTAATCCAGCTATCAATATTTTATTAAAGATTGATAATAAATAATAATTTATAGTAGAAGAAGCAGCAGCTCTAATTGGTGTTTGTGGTATTCTTGGTGGTGTTGGTGTTGTTGTCGTTTGAAAATCACTGACCTACGTATTAGTTTAGATGTCGAACGTCTTCTAACTGGAGGCGTTTCTATATAGTTTATCGTAGGAGTACCTCATTCTTGCGCGTCTAACTTATACACATAGATAGAATTGTTTGTTGTTTTATAATCGAGCGTAGTCATATTTTGTTGTATTCCGCCGATATAAAAAATATCATTCTGAGTGGTTCCAAGTACCGCAGCAGCCTTTTCACTACCATAAGGCGTTTTCGACTTGGTGGTAAGATCCACATATGGAACTGATGCTATGTTAAAGTTTTTGTTGAGATTAATATAAAATACTTCGTTTGATAAATTAAAGAACCTATTTTTAATTGTTTATTATGTATAATTTAAAAAAAAATCTTGTAAAATTATTGGAATTAATAAAGATTAATAATTAATTACTTTCAGGATTATTTGCCCATAAAATATAAATTTGCATCGATCTTTTGAATCTACTAACACCGCAACGCGTCCTCCTCTAGGTTATGGAACAAAAGAAGAGACTGTGAAGATTGAAAAACAAGTTGCAAACTCAAAATGATTATAAAGCGCTTAAAATTCAATGTTGCCATTATCATTATTAAAATTATATCTTGAAATAACTATGATTTTGGCTTGTAGTATTTTACGCATTTTACAAATAAAGGCAATTATGTTCAAGGCGTCAAAAATATCGAAATTTTCTTAATAGAATGAAATGAATGAAATAAAGCTTATAATGCAATATTTCCATATGTGGGAAAAAACAATAAGTATTTGTTTATTCTTGTGATCATATTCTGTTGCGAATTTACGTGTCATGATGGCTTCAAGGTTTAATTAGCATTTTTTTTTTTTTTTTTTCCCTTTATTAGAGAACGAACGTTTTCTATAAATAATTTATCACAAGTTTGTAACATGCCGAATTATTTACGATTATTAACTAGTTCGCACATTTCAATTTTACTATATAAAGTGCAATTATCATTGACGAAAAAAAATGATGACATTTGTGTTTATTGTCACATATCACGTCAATGAAATACCTCAAAAAGTTAATGAAATTAAATAAAATGACCATATAATTTTAAAGAATTTTACTTCGATGTTGTCGATTATAATTATAAATATGTTCGACAAATATTAATAAAGACATGATATGTTCGACAAATATTAATTAAGATATGGGATCTTTGCTAGGAAAATCACCCTTCGGGATTTTCCGAACGGGTTAATTCGGAAAGACTTAGACCAGAAT